TTAAATCTGCCAGAGCCAATGTTAGGATTTGAGTTTTATCAGAATTGAATTGAATAAAGCAGTTATCCAGTTTTTATTGTGCGTCCAGTAGGGATGGGAATTGATAAGATGTTGTTGATACCAGTGCCGTTATTGATTCTGCTTATCGATCCGATTTTTTATTGATTCCCTTATCGATTCCTGTGGATTTTCTGTGTGGAAAGAAGTAGGCCTAAACACGTTTTCAGTGTCAACAACACAGTCTCTGAACACTGGACAAGATGGATAACTGCTCCGTAGTTGTTCAATCCCTCGAGGAGGGGGTGCTGTCTGCCTCTTTAGGTCAGTGGTGGTGCCACCTTCAGCAGCAGTCCTCGGTCCACCGCCATCATCTAAAATAGATCAAATGAGAGAATATTTGTACAGCATTCATTTTCATTTAGGTCTTAAGTCAAATAAAGAATCTATTGTGGCCTGCATGCGTTGTGCTAATGGTGATAGGTACTAGTGATATGAATTCCGGCTTATTTCAGTGAGCCAGATCATTTGGCTCAGCTCACCAAGAAGAGCTTGGTGGGCTCTTTAGGCTCCCAAATGGCTCTTCATTTTACCACTTCTGCCATTTATAATTCAGCCAAATTTAGCACTGTTTTGACCTATAATTAGTATGTGTGCACATATATCAGTTAAAATATTCAATGTTATTATAGAAACCTTATAATTTACATAATATCATAATTTTACATTATGTTTGGTATAAAAAAGATTAAATGTAAAAACATCAAACACATTAAACGTTTTATTTATACACGCAACGTTGTAGTGTTTCGCTAAAAAAACACTAAACAGACACAGTGCATCTGGTCGTTGTACATAAATGTATGTCACAATTCTAATGCTACTGTGATGTCCATATGAAATAAAATAATAAAATAAAAGGCTATTCAAAAAATAAATCATTCAGTCACAGTCAGCATGGAGTGCTGTGGCACTGTGAAGATCATCCGATTCTGCCTTGCATTAATTTACAAAAAAAAAGGCTCTCTGACAGGAGCTGGCTCCCATCATTCACTTAAAAGAGCCGGTTCGTACACGACTGACACATCACCAATACGTCCATTCACTGCTCTGCTGAGACTGGGCTGCACTCGTTGACCAGTGGGGGGGGGGGCATCAAACACATGGCGCTCCTGATATTTAATGCCGTGCTGCGTCGACAAATGTGTCAGCATGTTGCTGGGGTCTCCACCCTTGCTTGAAATCTTAGTGCCACAGACATTGCACATTGCGCTGTCAGCGTCACTTTGTGTGAAATGAAGCCACACTTCCTCCACTCCTTCGCTGTTGTTCGTGCTGACTGCTTCCCGCGAAAGCGTGACGTCATTGTTTTGCAAGGCACGCGGAACTAAGTGGAAGGCATCGATAAGGGAATCATTAAGGACAAAGGCAAATGATGTCCATGGATCGAACCAGTTGGAACCGGTTCTCAACTGGAACCCATTCTCGATTCCCATCCCTAGTTTCCAGGCTACCGGGATTTATATAGCTGTCCATCATCAGCCTAAAGATGGAAGGGAAGCTCTAAGTTCGTAAGTTCACACCAGGCTTTAAAATGCGTCTCCACATGCGTCTCAATTGACCACTTGTGATCAGATCTCACTTCCCAGCCTTATATGCAAATAAACAGGCATGTGTTGTTGTTTTTCAGACAGTTTTTCAGTCCTGTGTTTGTGTGTGAGTGTGAGAGAGACAGAGATAGCGGGGCACGGAGAGGTTGAGTGAATCAATGCTCTGCTCACGGCTCTACAGTAAAATCTGGTTTTACTCATTTGAAATACTAAAATATTTTGGTTTCATTTGGTTTATTTGTGTGGGTGTCAGGTGGATCTATTGTGTGAAGTAGCACCTGCTCTCCTGCTCTTCACAGATAAACACTGAGCTGTCACTCCTGTCCTCAGCAGGCTGTCTCACACATCATGGTGTCTTCTTGTCCATGTAGGGGGGGGGGCGCGAGGGGTAAGTGTAGCGTGACCCCTGGAATAAGATTACGATTCAAGTATTCTAGAAGAAAATCCTGCAAAGAGTAAAGATTTTAAACTATGAGCACGTAGGAAAACCCGTGTGACTCGTAGCAGGTGTGAAAACTGAAATGCTGTCTGTGATGGTGTGGGCTTCCTGTTTCCTGGATGTTAAGTTTGACTGATGTATCCATGATTCTCAGATGTCAAATCACTGCACAATGGTTTAGGATTGGATAAGGCTTGGACAGGATTTTACAGCTCTGGTAAGTTATCAGTGTGGCAGTCATTTCATTCTGTTTCATCAGACTTCATGATGCCATTTGCACTGAACATGGACTCATTAGAACCAGTGGTGATGGACAGCATGGCTTTCATTAGAAGGAGAGCAGTAGAGTTATCTGGTTTGTGATATATGCAAGTAAGTGACCTATGGCTTCCCATAGCCTGAACCTTTAAGAGCATTGTGAGATTTAAAGTTCTTCAGACATGTTTTAAAATCCTCTGCTATGATTCATATTTAGTTGAACATGGTTTTCACACATAAAAACTGAAGCTCATCTCCTCTTACGTCCTGATTGAGAAATGTGGATCAGGCCTTGAGCCCCGCCCACCACCTGCTGTCTCCAGGTGGGCAGGTGAAAGAGCAGAGAGTATCAAGATGGTTAGAGGAGGAAACATCAGAGAGACTCAGCCACATGTTTGAGCCTCTTTACTTTCTTTACTAAATCTACCAACACACCAGTGTCAAACTACATCTAAAAGACTACTATTAAAAGTAAAAGTCCTGCGTTCCATTCATACTAGTAGGCTACACGAGTAATACCAGACATATGTACTTGAAGTTATAATCTGTAACATTTCCAAAACAACTAGACCTATGCTCTATATGTTGTTGAGTTGTGTTCTTACATTTTCCCAAATGTTTCCATCAATTCTCAAACCAGAGAAATCTGTGATTTTAATCATGGTAACGCTCCGTTTCATTGGTCACCTGTCAATGACATCATATCCTCTATGATCATGTGTCAGTGTGTTTGTCTGACTGAAGCTCAACACTGACTTTTATCTAGTTTTAAGCCACATACACTTTTTCCACCTTGGTGGTTTTCAGCTCTATATTTGAAGCAGATGAAGGATTTTAGTCGTCGGACGTCTGGATCTGAAGTTATCAGAGAAACAAGCTGAGGAAATGTTAGACAGCTCAGCTCCCAGCTGCTGGAGACGTCCTGTCCTGTGTCACTGAAGAGAGGAGGACACCTCTGTGGATCATTCAGCTGCTGGTAAAAACCTGCTGAACGTCTGCTTCATAAGTTATCAGAGAAACAATCAGAACAAAGGTTAGCATCAATCTCAGCTCCAGCTCTTCCCTGAGTCTCTGTCCTCCGTACAGCGTCGCTCAAACACTGACTTTAAATGTCAAACTGCTTCATTCAGTGTTTTTAATGGTTAGAATCACCGGGTCTGTTTGATTTCCTGAACCACTGACACTGAAGGAATCCAAACCAATAGGTTCTGATACATTAATCTGTTTAAAAAAAAATTCAACTTTTCAACTTTCTTTGCTTTTTGTGAAATGATCAATTTAGTTCTATTGGCATCATACAGCTATTAAAATGAAACCATGTTAGAAGTTTAGAGGGGAAATGTCTCTGGTAACAACTGAATGTGAAACATAGAAAAAGCCATAAGCAAACAGTTTTTGTTCGATTAATCTTAAACAATCTTTTGTAATTTATCATTTTATAATATTTTAATCTATGTGACATCTTAATCTGTGAAGTATCTAGTAACTATATGTTAGATAAGTATAATGTAAGGGAGTACAAAGTACAATATTTCCCTCTAAAATGTAATTTCACAAAGTAGTGAAGAATTAAAATACATAGGTAAAGTACAAGTTAAACAAAATTGTACTTTTTTTTATAGTACTTGCGTAAATGAAATTAAGTCACTTTACGCCACTGCAAAACAACATCCTGCACAATGAACATCTTTTTTTTATTGTTGGCTGAGCCAGTCATAGGCCACAGTGTCTGTGACTGACTGACTGAGTTGAGTGAGTGATGAAAGTACACAATTGGTCTGCCGTGTGTTGGACTTTTCCTAGTGGCTTTTCCCCTACAAAATGTTTTGGCCCCAACAGTTTCTATTACGTCCTCAGGGGGGTGACAGGCCTTTTTGTCTAATTCCCTCTGTTTGATATGTATTTTTAGTACGATGCCTCATTCGCCCTGTTAAAGTTACTCCTTTGCGCGTTAATACAAACTCAACACTTCCTGTGACTGTTTCACATTAAAAGTTCTCTAGCTTTTCAGTGGACAGAGAGAAGCATCCGCTGCGACCACCTGATTGTGTACCTTTGCATCCAGAGAAATCCCCAGTTCACCAGTTTTAACTGTGCTTTATCTTTTTGTCGGGGACCCTTGGTGTTCAGCTTTTCCATTTCTCCATGGTTCTAAAGGAGTTTAAATCGAAAAAAAAACAAAAAAAACAACTTGACTTGATTATTTATCTGGGAAGACGTTTCACCTCTCATCCAAGAGGCTTCATCAGTTCATGTACGCATCTGACCAGGCTGGGACTGGTCCATGAGAGGTGAAACGTCTTCCCAGACAAATAATCAAGTCCAGTTGTTTTTTCGATTTAAACTCCTTTAGGATACTATGACCTGGACAAGTGAGAATATGCACAGGCTTCTCCATGGTTCTTTCTAAAAATAGAATGTGTTGTTAAATTGATGAATTACGTGTGAAAAAAATCCATATTGCTTATGAGATGGGAGGATGTTTAGTTAAGAATTGTGTAGTGTGTGTGTGTGGTCAAAAACAATATGTTCAACAGGAAGAAGGAGGGGCAGGGAAACTGGTGATGTCAGCAGAAGAGAAGGGAGGACCGCTTTGCCTTTTCCTTTTTCCTCCTCCTCCACCCCCAGCCCCCGCCCCCTCTTCTTATCAGCACGATAGAGCGAGAGACGGGATCAGTAGGAGCGTGGACGAAGCATTAACAACTGTGACAGTGGAGATGGGGAAAGAGAAAAATAGAAACAGGTCAGGAAAGAGAGACTAAAAGAAAAGACAGACATAGTTATTGACACTGTCCAACAAATTCAGAGAAACAGATGCCACAAAGAGAGAGAGAGTAAAAGAGAAAGGAAAGCAAGAGATCAGAAAGTATACCAACTAAGAGCCAGTCCTCTTGGAGTGAGGACCAAGTACTTGTTTCTGGAATTGGGTGGACCCATCATAAGGAGGACTCGACATCAACCAACACAGCTACAATGTACAGTGGATATGGAGGTATGAACCAGTGGAGTGAGACTAGCTCGTCTCTAATCATTAACTCTGTGTTTGTCAGGATGAACTGACTGTTGCTGGTTAACAGGTTTGTAACTTATTATGTCCAGAGAGAAACCAACAAAACCTGTAACATGTTTGGTAGCTTTGTTTGTCATGTTCGTATGACTGCAGATGTTTCTCCCTTTCATACAAACAGCCTCAAATGTATTTTACTAAACTGTCAAGAGAAGTGTTCCTTCTGCGACATTAGCGGGGTCGCTCCACCTTAAAGGACCACGATGTCACTGCGCTACTGCCACTACGTACTGTAGCAACTATAGCCAGAGTTGTGTCTCGGTTCCTACTTCCATTTGCCATCCGGTTTGTAGAATATCTAGATTTGTTAAATTGAGTTTGACACAGGTTTTGGTCTCTGTGGTCACTCTGTGTTAAAATCCATTGTGAACATCAACATCTCGTCCTTGTTGTGGAGAAAAAAGTTGTTGACGAGTATCCAGTATTCAGAACCCAAACCAATATACTGTAAGATTTACATTATTGAAAATGGTCAGACAGACAAAGACAGGGCTGTACATAGTGATGGCCAAATAAAAAATGGTGTGTGTGTGAGAGGGTGTGAGAAGTTACCATGACAACAAGTACCAGTGGAGGAGGTGTTGAGTGTCCAAAACAGCAGCAACAGCAAATTAACTCTTCTAGATAATGTATGATCAAATATACTGGAAGGAGGAAGTCATTAATAAAGGCCTATCTCCACCAGTAGCTTGTCTCCAAACATCTGGATTCTGTTGCACCACCTATTTGTATGTGTGAAGTCTTTCCTACTTTCTTAGCCCAACCAGCAGTTAGTTTGAAATTAAGACCTTTGAAATTTGTAAATAGTTTGAAAGGAAACATCTGCATGTACGCAGGAGCCACACAAACTGAACATAACTTCCAAAATAACAGCTTTAAGAGGGCAAGTGAAATAGTAAACTTTTAAATATTTATATCTGCATACTGCATATATTTATGTTTCAGAATACCTGCATAATGAAGCATTATATCTGACTGTTGTATTGTTGTTATGTGAAATGTAATTGTATTTAATAACATTAACATTCTGGATTAAGAGTATCTGGATAAAATCTGAAATGATGTCAGTTAATTAAGGCTATTATTGAACTAGAGTTAGTGGGAGTGGAGCCTCCATGCTCTACTGCAAGTCTTACGATACAAAAGCTTACATCATGATTAAATACCATTTCCATCAGGTGTCAAGTGTCAACCATATTCCATATGACATTTGATGCACTCTTCAAATATTCAATAACAGCCAATCTCTTCGTAAAAATTGTTTGCATGGTGCAACATTTTGTCGGAGAATTTATGGTGTATGGTGTTTGTTTTCACACTTTCCGGGATTCGTTATCTCTTTTAAAGTTGCCTTGTAAAGTGGTTGGTAGTACTATAATTTATGTTTTTTTTTGTAATAAATAGTGGTAATTTGCATGGTCCTATAAAGAGCTGCTAAAATGAAAAAAATATTTCATACTCCATCTCCATTGTAACAAGACAAACACAAATTTGGGAGATTTACTGTATTTGTTTATTTGGCGTGCAAATGGTAGAATTCAAAGTTAGAGTAAGCAGTGCTGTAGAAGACTGTTCATATATAAACTCAAAAATATACTCAAATATACCCCACTATTTGGTGCTCCTTGATGGCTGCGGATTGTCAAAGCAGCGGCGACACAGTGGAATCCAGAGCATCTCTTTCTCATAGCTGAAGCAAAACAAACCTTGTACTATAATACATCATCATACAAACCACACACACACAAACACAGCACCATAAACACAACAGAGTAACAACTAGAGAGACTTGTTTACATAGTTTTTACAAAACTACGGTGACTTACTCCAGATCTGTACAACAAGAGATATTGTGTCATTTTTCCCCTACATATTATTTTACCTTGTAAAAACCTGACCCTACCCACAATGCAACAGACTGCCAGCTGCTGGATTGGAGATTCTGTTGTGTTTTGCTTACAGCATCTGATGTAGCCTTGAGCTGCTAGTCTCAAGCAGAGATGAGCAGGCCACAGGCGCCTGGTAACTCTGCACCACCAGATTTCTTCATTTTTTTATCTTATAGTCCTCAGACCAGCTGAAGGTCACTTGAGGCAATTTATCAGACTCTGTGCAGCATCATCTGGACTCACAAAAACACAGACTTTTTCCAATATGCAGTAGTACTTCCCAACACCTCTAACACACTTCAGTGCTCTTCACCTTTCACTCACAGAAATGAGACTCTCATCTCAGTCTTGTAAAGAAAACAAATAAGTGCTTTCGGCACAATGCTAACCCTAACCCTAACACTGCTAACCCTTGGTAATGAAGCTGTAAACTGCCATACTGTGTTACTGCACAACAATAACATGGCTTTAATTGAAGATGGGCATTTTGCTCACTGCCACGGCCCTTTCAGCCTTATAATAATTTTTCAGACACTTATATCCTTTTCCTGGAAATGAGCAAGCACGGCTGTACAGTAAAGCTGTTATTCCTGTGACTCAGTATAGCCATAAACTGCAGGAGTCTTTTCCTGACCCTGCCCTCCGTACAGGATGTTACTCCCTCCAGGGTTTTCTTCCCCTAAAGACAGTAGTGTGAGGGAGGGGAGGGCCTGGAGTCATGAAACTAAACTGTATGTACTGTATGTGTGGCTGTGAGAGAACAGTGTATGAAATAATGGTGTTGTGAGGGGAGGAAACTATTAACATCAAATGGAGCATTAATGATCCCAAGAGGAAGGACTGACCCGTCTTTCACCTTGCTTTATATGTAGTGTTGTCAGTGCACACATTTCTCCTGGAGAAACCAGAATAGTTCCTGTAATATGTACATTTAGAACTGTTCATTCAGTTCTTATGTCACCCACCATAGTTATGGGTAGAGACAGATTCTTCAGCTTCTTATCTTAAATATAAACATACGAACCCTTATAGGTATGATATGTAACTTTTCTGCATTAAAAGGCCTAAAAACAACCTGACTTATATTTTTAATGCACTGTTGTACACAGGATAACAGCGACAGAGGTGGAAGGCTGGCAACTCGTTTTCATTTCTCTGCTGAAACCCTCAGCTCCAGAGCTGAATGTTAGCCGTCCAGTGTGATGGACTCAGCTGCCCAAAAGGAAAGAGAATCCTTGGTGTGCTAGGATTTTATTACTGTATTATGACACACACTTTTTATCTCTTTGACTGTGTGGAGAAGTGATGTTTTCATATCGCAGATGACAAACATTAACTCTTAAGTCTTTCAACATGAGACTCATATAGTGAAGATTCGCTGCTCTGCAGGGACACTGGACTGGAAAACACTGGAAACTGTATATGTTGAGAATGAATAGATAGATAGATAGATAGAATTCCAAGTGTCCAGCAGCTCACTTGTAATAATAATAGTAATAATTAGATTAGTCCAGTTCATTATCAACTGTCTTTGGCTAAGGTGTTGTATAGCCTCCTAAACCTCTCTGTTCTGCAGCGCAGTGAGATGAGACGTTTGCTGTAGAGAGTACTGAGGAGTTAAATAGTTTTTCATTCCCTTACTGCAGCTGTCACACATATTGTACTGTAGCACACATTATGTGATAATTATTGATGCCCTAGTGATAGACCAGGCAGGAGGAGATCAACTTTAAAACAGACTGTGTTTAATCATTATGTACAGTATAGACTACACTAGACTAGTATAGACACCCATTAGCCTACCACACTGTTACCAACAACATTAAAGGTCCATATAGTACAAAGGTATGTAGATGTCCATGTGTTGTTTGATTATAAAGCAGGTCTAGATTCTATATTAACACTGTGAAAGTATCAAAGCCTCAGTCCACAGAGAAATGCACACAGCCTGTATTCAGAAACTGAGCCTTAAAACCAGCCGTCAGGACTTTGTGATGTCACAACAAAGCAGTCACGGCTCTCAGCCATGCCCCAAGCCCCACCTACCTGGACCCACCATTCAATCTTGTTTTTATTGGTGTTGTTTTTACTTTATTAACAACACCAAGTGGCCATTCTGTCGCTAAGCCAATCAGCTACGAGACTGAAAACCCATACAGTATATATTGCACATCCTTCCCAAGGATAGTAATATAAGAGACCAGTGAGACTAGAGAGGCTCAGAGTCGGACTGACAGGGTTTGGTTTCTCTGAGTGTTTACCTGTAATCAGCTATATTTTTATTGGATCACTCAGAAAACAATCAGAAGAGAGGCTCAGAGCCTCCTCTCTTCTGATTGGCTCACTGACCTGTTGTGACTAGAGCTCCAGAGAGAAGCCTGAGAGAGGAGATGTAAAACTACATTGAGATGGTTTTTGGTTCTTAAAACCAAAAATATATCTTCTTATGCATCAACACTTCAAATAAAACACAGCAGAAGAAGAAAATATGGAGCTTTAAACAGTGTTGCCTGAGCTTATGTGTTTTTCAGCCTGACTGGACATGTTTCATTCACCATGGAAATATGAGCGTTTGGATTTACTACAAAGATTTTGTTGATGTAGTGAAAACTTAAAAGCTGAGCAATAATACCAACCAGGCTGTGTCACCAGCAGATCCTCAGCTATCACAGTTACACTGTGTTGTACAAACAGATTGCAGAATATGATTATTTTACTGGCTGCAATTGTAAATGCAGGGCTTAAAGTACTCCGGCACCGTGCTGGATCTCCGGTGTAACGCTGTGAGAGAAAAAATGAAAAGTCAATACACTTAGGAATTTGTTGTAGATGCAGTTTATCATGTTCAAGGTAATAAAGTTAAGCAACCAATGGTATGAGAGGAAAGCAGTTCTCGCCCGCTTACTAGCCAATCAGAAGTGGAGCGGGGCGGGTCTTGGCAACACTGGCAGTGTAGGAACCAGCGGCTTGAAGGAGCCGGGCGAGGAAGCTACTATATGCACCAGCATGCTGTCCGCGCACTCCAACATACAACTA